GATTTTAGAATTTCCTTGTAATCTTCTCAGGAAATACATGCATTCACAGTTAGATATAGTCAAATATTTTATGCCAACTTATCCATCTAGTCTTACCTCAAACTCCACTTCAATTAACAAATGCACTTTGGGTGATAATATAATTGTTCTTATTTTATATAATTATCTTGACATGATTTCCTTGTTGGATATAAAACTAGACTTTTCATATTTTAGCTATAGCTCTGAAAAGTTAGCATGATCTCTATTCTCCTAGCTTAATTTCTCTCCTAAAAGTATTTAATAATGTAATGCTTTTAGGCAGCTATCTTAGCTTTCCTATTTTTAAAATGATTTTCCTTTTATTGTTTTTAAAAACTGAAAATACAATTAAGGAAGTATGAATTACATTTAGCATCAATATGCTTTTCAGAACTCACAGTTTGCTTAGAATAATGAATATGTGAAGTTACTGAGGATTATTTCATACCTTGAATAAAAAATCCTTCAAGAATATCTAGCACTAATTTTAATTTAAGGATTTGTATTTATTTTTCTCAGAATCATGAAAGCAGTTAATTCTACTGATCTATTTCTCACATATAAAAACTTAGTAGATACAGAAGTTATTAAAAAATTAATTCAGTGTATATAATAATACATGCAATGTACACATGCATGCCCATCTATCTATATACAATCACAGGATTTGTCAATGCAAATGGCAATGATTTTAATGAGTGATTTATATTACAATCAATGGGAGACAAGTATAGTCAAATTGGCACCTGGCTTCTGTGTACTGGGCAGGCATTGAGCAAATTGCTGATGTGGCAAGGGCTTTAGTTCATGAAGTGCATATCTGACCGCCACTGCCCTAATCAGTGGAGACAGAATTAGTGCTAGCTAAGTCGTCTATGTGCTGTGGGAAGGGTTTGTTGAGGGTAAGAGTCTGAAGACAGAGATTAAGGAGTCTTCATCCTCCTAATGTGCTGGGCATCCAGGATTACAGCTCTGGGTCAGGAAAATCCACCTGAGTGCAGACCTAAGCACCAGCACACTCCTGCCCTGGGATTACCAGACACGCTCTGCACTTAAGACTCATGCCCCAAGCTACCCTTTCACTCAAGAGCTTCTCCTCTGCTGCAGCAAAGTGACCAGAGCTCACAAGTTGTCAACATGTGCCTAAAATAGACAGAATATGCTGAAAACGTGAACTTTATTATTTAAAGAGTCACAGGCTGATCATATGTATTAGCATCACCAAAATGATGGTTTGGGAGCAACAGAGAGAGTTGTATGTATCTAACTAGATGACGAAAGGAAAGAACATTTCTTTGCAAGGGCTCTGGCTGTATTTGCTCTAAAATAAAATTTGGTTTAGGGTAATGTAATTACTATGTTTGATACATGACATTATACTTTTCATGGTGAATATATGACATTACACTTCTGCCAAAATCCAGAGACTATACACCAAGCAGGAGCCCTGATGTAATCTACAAACATGGCTGATAATAATGTCAGTGTCAGCTCATTGATTGTAATAGATATATACTCGAGTCCAGGATGTTGATAATAGGGTAGGCTGGCCATAGGTGTGTAGGAAGAGGAATGTATAAGAACTCTATTCTGTCCACTCAGTTTTGCTGTGAATGTAAAATTGCATTAAAAACATATATATATATATATATATATATATATATGTATATATATATATATATATATATATATGCACATAGCTTGGAGCATACAAATGATAACAGGAATAACATGAAAAAAAGATGATGCTTTTCTTTTTTAAAGGAAGTCTGGGCACCAATAGATGTGATAGTGATAAGTAAATAGGTACTTGTTCACAAGTGCGAGGATGAAAAGGCACTGGGGAAGCCAAGTGGAGCTCAGAACAGTAACACACAGGCATTGCAGGTGTCAAGGACTTACTGTCATTCCCAGGATTTCCATGATATAGTGACATTTCCATAAGCACTGGGAATAGTTTGCATTCTAGATAAAAAATAGATAACTGATTAAGAAAGAATAAACACCACATCAGAAACATAGCAAAAATTTATAGATGAGGTGTGACTCAAAGGGTAGATCCCCTGCCTAGCCAGTGCAAAGCCCTGAGTTCAAATCCTATTACCACCAAAAAAAAAAAAAACTGGGTGGAGGGCACTGGAACTGTGGCTCACTGGTAGAACACTCGCCTAGCATATGTGCTATTGCAGCCAATGGACTTTTCAGAGCCTCATAGAAATATGCCTATGCCTGACGAACCTAGCACTTCAGAACAGAGGCATTTGTGGTTATCTAGTAGAATGACATTAGAAGGTAATGACATCACCTCATCAGCACTGGACACTTGCTGCCCATCCCTGACACCTCCTTGGGCCCCTTCTGAGTTTACCTGCAACTGAGGTCACCTTGCTTCTTGAGGTGCTTCTCTCTGCTTCTCAGCCTGAAGGTTTCTTCCTGTATCACAAGAGTTCCTTGCATCCAGCACAGGCATAGCTAGATGTGATAAAAAATTGTGCCCTCAGCCAATAGCCAACAGAAATCAATGGGTACATGATCACCTTTCTGTCCTTCTTTGGGACAGTTCTGAGGCATCTACCAGAAAATTTCTTACAGGGTCTTCAGCAAGGCTGAACCCTGGATGTCTACGGTGGTGACATCACCTCTCCCTGGCCCTTCCCTTCCTGCCTCAGATCCCTAACTCACTCTCATCAGCTTCCTCAGACTTGGGCTCAAAACCTGCTTTCGGGGGAGTCCCAAAGAAAGACTGCCTCCTTTGCTTGTAGTGACTCCTCTCCGTGGAATTCCACAAAGGTGACAAGCTGAGATGGGGTGGTCAGCTTCCAAGAAACTCTTGCTCCTCTCCCTTTCTTCCTTCTCCATTTTCTTCCCTCTTCCCTATAATTTGTCTTCCCTATAATATAAGCGGAGCACTATATTTTTAAAACAGCTTTATTAGGAATAATTGATACAAAAAGACTAGACATATTTCAAGTGTACAATTTGGGGCATTTAGATGTATATGTGCACCTGTGAAACCATCATCATAATTGTGATGATATTGAGACACATCCAACACCTCTCAAAGTTTCTTTGTGTCCCTTTGCTTTTGTTTCTTTATTTTTCTTGTAAGAACCTTAACATGAAAACTGCTCTTTCAATTTCTTTTATTACTTTTTTAATTTTTATTTTGGTGGGACTGGGGCTTGGAGTCATGGTTTCATGTTTGCAAAGCAGGAACTCCTCTGCTTGAGCCACTCCTCCAGTCCACTTTTGCTCTAGCTATTATGGAGATCAGGTCCATAAACTATTTGCCTGGGCTGGCCTTCCTTCCTTTTTTTTTTTTTTTTTTTTTGTGGTACTTGGGTTTGAACTCAGGGCTAGTGCTTGAACCTTGAGACCTTATGCTAAGTGATACAAGCCAGTCACCACAGGACAAACACAGCACTTGTGAAACGTTCCCAGACAGCCCAACTTACAGAAGCAGAGACTGTAACAGTGGTCACCAGAGGCTAAAGGATGGGGAAATGGAAAGTTGCTAGCCACTGGTATAAAGTTCATTTGTGCTACATGCATAGATTCTGTTTTTTGCTACACAACACAGTTCTTATAGGATTACATTATAACAACGTTACAAATTCTATCTCACTCATGGATGAGTTCATACATCCTCTAGAGACCATTAATTCATGACACAAAGCAGAGATCAACAAATGAACAAATAATGTTTCAAAGTGAAACACCATTTGTGTGCCACATTTTTCTGTCAGGAGGAGGGTTGAAGGGCACCAAAGCTCCTCTGAACTCAAGAGATTTCCAGTTGCAGGGCAGTGTCCTCACCAGAGTCCAACCCCACAACCAACCCAGCCTGCCTTCTCCAGTGGCATTCTCACAACAATTTGCAGGCACCTGGCAGATGTTTTTATTCTAATCATGGCTGTGCTATCCCTAAACACTCTGAGGCCACTATCAGAGAGGCCAGATCTCACAGAAATACAGTAACAATAAATGACAAAAAAAACCTTTACAAAAATAAGTGAATGGCTGAAGCCAGTGTTTGCCAATGCAGCCCACGGACTTAAACTTCCCATTTGGTCAGTAGGTTTAAATGACCTGAAGCAGAAGTTAAAGAAGTAAATACTGTTATATTTTTAGTTTTTTGAACCGTATGAATGAATTAAATATTTTAAAAATTAAATCGAATGACACAAGAAAGGAAAGATCACTACAATGTAAAGTAGAACATTTCCTTCCAGTTTCCTCGCTTCACAGATTTTTTAAGTGACAATTGTAGAAAAAGGAAAAGCTAAAATGACCTGTTTGACTAGTACTTGTTCAATATTTAAAGTTGTTCAAAGAATATTAATAATTAACAAGAAAATATAAGGCAAACATTACCCCTTTAACAATACTCCCTTTTTTCCGATCACTAGGTTAAGAAGATACAGTGTATGAATACTGCATTTACAAAAGCTTGTATATAATTTGGCCACTTGTTCTGATTAAGTAGTCTCCTGCAGTCAGCCTGAATCTGCCCTAATTAGATATGTTTTAAGCCATTAAGAAGATTCTTCCTCCCCATTTTTTCTAATCTTATCAACTATATAGGAATAGTTTCCCAAAGATGAACATATGGGAGAATTTACTCATTTGTAACTCTGGAAATATAAGAGTCAAAGTGAGTTATAAGAAAGGAAACTGGTGTTCTGTTCCTGGAATCTTGGAGGCTGGTTTAACTGTGGCCTGGGACTGCCAGTGGACTGCAACAAATTCCAAGGGCATATTATAAAACTCTGAGTTCTACAGCTGTACGTGAGCACTTTCTATGGAGGAGCTCTTTCTATAATTGAAAACTTGGTGTAGCTAGACTTCCAAGTGTTGTGAAAATACAAGAAGTTTTCACTGTGTTCAAGAAGAATTTAAATAACGTACAAAAAGTAGAGTTACTTGTTAATGTACCTATCTGGTTCTTTTTAGAACTTCATCAGAGGCAAGCAATATCGATGGCAAATCCGATGATGTCTATGAACCCTTTATTGACAGCATCAGGGCAGCAGAGGATCCCTCTGGTACCCTCGTCATTTGGACTTCCAGTTGTGGACAGGTATTTCTCTCAATACAATAGCGCACTCAGAGTCCACCGAGGGTACAGATAATGGATAATCATTAAACTTTGGAATGCTGTTAACCCCAGTGTTGTTCTATTGTCTAAAGTTATCTCAGTGAACTATGACGCAGTAATTCAAGACACTGCTGGCCTCACCTTCAGGACTTCTGTTACCACTTTCCCTTTGAGGCCTGCTTGACTTGCTCACTCAGAAAATAACCAGAGAGCATTTCTGATGTGACAAACACTGTCAGGTGCAAACACTTGTGTATTAGTCTCCTGGGAGACTAATAATAAAACTAATAATAAAACAGCACAGACTGGATGACTTAAATAACAGATATTTATTTTTCTAGTTCTATAGGGAGGAAATCCAAGATCAAGGTGCTGCCCAGCTGGTTTCTAATGGGGTCTCGCTTTCTTTCTTAAAGACACGCACCTTCTTATGGCCTTTCCTCTTTGTGCATATGCAGCAAGATCTCTGGAGTTTCTTCCTCTTTTTAAAAGGACACCAGATTAGAGCCCCACTCTTCTGATCTCATTTAACCTTAGACTTCAGAAGGGCTTACCTCTAAATACAGTCATAATGGAAGTTAAAGATTAAGCATATGAACTTAGGGAGAAATAATTAAGTCTATAACATTTGAGTGCCCTGGAATTCCTATGATCAAACACTTCTCTCCTTTCACTGACAGTGAAATTATAAGTATTTTGATTGCATACTCTGGCAGTATTTTATCTTCTCTCCTTCGGAACATTTTTCTTCTTTTTTTTTTTTTTTTTTTTGAGATACTGGGGTTTGAACTCAGAGCCTTGTACTTGCTAGGCAGGAGCTCTTCCACTTGAGCCACACCTCCAGCCCCCAAATATTTTAGCATTCTGAGGACAAAATGAGATCCACTATTTATTCCTGTTCATGGAGGGTGAACCATAAAGTTGAACTCTGTGAGAACATGGAAATTATGCCAAATAAATAAAATTATTCATCATTACGTTCATTAAATAAGAACAAAGTTTGTGGTCAGAAGGAACGCTGGTTTGAAAAATCAGAAAATGGTTTTGATTTGATTAGATCTTTTTTTTCCCCCAGATATCCCTAAAACTTTCCTTTTCTGCTTTCTTTATTTTGTTACTAACTGGCCCAATCCTTCCTCCTAATCTTTCTCACCATATTTCTACCCAAACAATGAAGACTGCAAGACATTTGTACTTCAGTTTGGAAAGAGATAATTGAATTCCATATGGCAATTTTAAAAAATCTTACTGCCTGAGCAATGGAACTTGTATAATCTCCATCCTCATTTTACTTTATTTTGTATCTTTTTTTCTTCTAGAGATGCCTTGTCTTCCACGATAGCTTCAACTGACCCAAGGCAGTTTTGTGCTTCTTCCCAGTTTGGATCCTCAGTTCTACCAAATGCAAATATGTCACATCTGTTATCCGGTCACATCTACTCAGGTATGAGTAATAGATGTTTGGCTTTCATCTATGCAGCCATGAGATTAGGATGACTGTGTTAGGCTTCCCATGGTTCTACTGCTAAATGCAGCAGAACGGTGTGGTGGTTATGCTTGTAATTTCAAGTTGCAACCTTGGTTCAAATCATGGTGCTACCAATGTGTAGCCATGTGTTAATTGCTTAACTCCTTTAAATATCAATTATTCATGAATAAATGAAGAATTGCAATATTAGCATCTGTCTTATCTTATTCATAAGGAGTTGATGAGGTTATGAGGACAGGAGATCTGAGAGTTACAGGGTTTGGGACAGTTACCATTTGGTCTGGATTGGGGATATAGCTCAGTGGTAGGACATTGCCTATCATGTGTGAGGCCCTGGGTTCCATCCTCAGCACTGCAAGAACAAAACAAACAAGATTTTAAAAATATGGCCTAATAGGAAATGTGGCTTTTATACTGACTAAAAGGGGAAGATTTCTAGGAATTTAAACAAAAGAGTGTCATGGTCTGATTTAAAGTTTATTAGGATCATTCTGGCTTCTGAGATGGGATCAAACTTGATAAGATCAAAATTCTAAGGATAAAACGATGGGAATTGATGGGATATTAGGATAACTAAAAAATTATGATGGCAAAGCCTTGGGTGGCAGTAGGAATACCAAGTGTTTGGATTCTGAAATTGCCTTGATAATAGAAACAACAGGATTTTCCCATTGTTTGGATGTAGAAAGTAAAAGAAAAAGAACCTTCGAGAAGGACACCAGAAGTTTTGATCTGAGTAATCAGAGGTGGAGTTAGTATTCTTTTTTTGAGGAAGATTGTGAGAGGGGCAGAGTTCTTAAGGAGGGAGAACTACCAGAGCTCAGTGTGCTCACATTATATTCGAGATGACTAATGGACAACCAAGTAGAGATGTCAAGAAGAACCTGAAGATCAGGGAGGACTTCTGAGAAAATTTAAAGATATACTCTAGGAAGTCTTCAGCATAAATGAGATTGGGTAAGACAATCCAGAGCTTAGTATTCAAAGGAGGATAACTGGGACACACCAACAAAGTCCAGAAGATAAGGAAGAAGGAATAAAGGAGAAATAGATGGCAAACCCAGCAAGGTAGGAGGAAACCTAGGAAGTAAACTGGCCTGGAAGCCAAGGGAAAGAAGTGTTCTAAGGAGAGAGTGAGCAGCTATGTCAAAAATACCACTCAGAGAGCAACTGAGATGAGGGTTAGAACATTGTTAGGTTTAGCAGTATGCAAAGGGCATCCATGATTTGTGCGTGTTCTGGGGATCGAACCTCACATGTGCTAGCAGTGCTCTACCACTGAGCCACATCCCCAGCTTTATCAGTGAATCTTGAAAAGAGCAATTTCAGTGGAGTCATGTCAGTGGAAATGACTGCTGGAGTGACTAGGAGGTGAGAATTTCCTCACTACATTAAAGATCAAGCTGGTGCATCTGATCTCCCCAAAACCACTTCACAGTTCCATCAACTTCTAATAGAGAGAAACAATGTGAGTGGAAAAACCCAACACAAAAAGAAACATGATTTGTGTTTGGACCAGCGAAATGACTGGCCAGCCTGGATTTGAGCATGTTCCCTCCCACAGGACATGGATCCATTTAACCACACTGGGGGTGGAATCCATGCAAGGGTCAGATCCAAAATTAGACTCACCCAAAGGAGTGAGGACTGAAGGAAACTGTGCCTACAACAGATTCTGGATGGAAGCCCGATCTGGCAGGCAGACCCCAGTAATCTGTGACCCAGGATTTTAGATAACAGGTTCTCAGACTAATGAAACAGCTCCATTACTGACTCAGAGTATCACTTGTGGTGACTGGGAACCCAGAAATTGACAATATTTGGATATATAAATAGGCAGGCTGCCTACCTGTCCTGGAGGCATTGTTCTGGTGTCCCTTCTCATGGCTGTAATGCAAGCAATAGCAAGGGCAGGATAAGATCTCAGACCTACAGAAACAGCTACTAAGTTAGCAAAGTAGAAATTAATACAGAGATCTATTTAAAAATTGGTAGCGAGTGGATTAGTAGTTGAACCAGCATTTAAGTTGATGTTTGCTTATTTGGGAAATAGAAAGAACCCGGAACATGTTTGGTGAGTCCATATTGCAGCGGGCCCTAAAATCCAGGCAATTAGTATTGTGCCCTCTCCCTGGGATTTCCCACTTGGACTTTTTCTGTATCCATGGGCAGCATGCCGTGGGTTGGGATTTCATGCACATCTAAAAGGGAATGTCTTGAAGTCACTGAACTATAAAAACAAGACCTTTAGCGTTAGAGGATTTCTAGAGGTCATCTCATCTAACCTCTTGAATTTTATAAGCAACAACAAGCCTCATTTAAAAACAATATTGTATGGTTTATTTCAAGCTAGGTTACTAATAGGAAGGTACAAAGTGAGTGTAAGAAACAGGTGTTACTCACATGATGCTTACTCTCTTATCAGGAAGAACAATTTACACAAACAAAACTGTCCTTGAACAAAACTATGCTCGATAAGTACAATGTGTGTGTTTATCCCCGTTATAGCCTGTAAACCTAGGATAGTCTGTGAGGCATTTGTGCAAATAAGAGAAGGTAAGGGCTTAGAAATTTTTACAGTAATTTGATGGGGTAATTTTATACCTGCTAATCTAATAATTTTTAAATTGTGCTTGTATTTGTCCCTGTTTTCATTTCAATTTCATACAAACTTATTTTTTACATTTTTATAAAGTATTGGCTCATGTTGAATTGGCAATATAAAAAGAAAAAGAATTTAAAACTAGTCCTTCACCATGATGGTTTTAAAAACACCAGGATAGACTGTAAGCACATTTGGGGTCAGAGAATGAGTAAATCAATATAGCATGAAGTTACCAGGTAAGAAAGTGTCTTGAAGTCAGGTGTGGTGGCCCATTGGAGGCAAGAGGATCTAAGTTTGAGCCACTTGGACTAATAGTGAATTCGAGGCTGGCCTGGACTACATAGCAAGACCCTGTCTCAAAAAAAGAAAATAAAGAATAGAGCCTTGAAATCTGGTGATGCTGCTGCTGTTATTTCAAGACATCTTGGACTATCAACATGAGCAAGGATGTACTTGCTGCCCAATTCCATCACTCTGGAAAATGTGTTTTACCACAGACATTACTGTATAGTTTACATAGAGAACTTTATAGAACTCTACTTTGTTCACTTAAATCCTCATTGCATTAATTTCCTGGGAATTCAGTAAATAAAGAACCATTCTTTTTTTTTTTTTCTGGCAGTACTGGGGTTTGAACTCAGGCCTTTGCACTTGCTAGGCAGGCACTACCACTCAAGCTACACCTCCAGCCCTTTTTGTTCTGGTTATTTTGAAATAGTTTCTCATTTTTTACCCAAGCCAACATGGACCACAATCCTATTTTACACTTCCCACTATAGCTGGGATAATATGTGCAAGCCACCACAGCTTTTTTCCATTAAGATGAGGTCTCACAAGCTTTTTTTTTTTTTTTTTGTGGTACTGGGGCTTGAACTCAGGGCCTTCACCTTGAGCCACTCCACCAGCCCTTTTTGGTTAGGTATTTTCGAGATGGGGGCTTGTGAACTATTTTCCCAGGCTGACTTCGAACCGTGATCCTCCTGATCTCTGCCTCCTGAGTAGCTAGGATTATAGGCATGGGCCACCAGCACCCAGCTTCACAGGCTTTTTTGCCTGGGTTGGCAGGGAACCTTGATCTTCCCAATCTCAGCCTCCCAAGGAAGTATTCTGTTTTAAGAGAGTCAATTAATTTTTGTACAAAAAAAACCTATCAATTTTTATCCTCAAAATCAAAAAGTCAAAATGGGGTAGATGCTGGTTAAAGAGTAGAAGGTTTTAAGTTAGGAGAAGCAAGTTCTGGAAATCTATTATATAATATAACTGCAGTTTGTAACAATGTACAGTATACTTGAAAATTGCTAAGGAGTAGATTTCAAATGGCTTAGCCACAAAAAAAGATAATATGTGAAGTGTCAGATATGTTAATTAGCTTGATTCAATCATTGCACAATGTATACATATATCAATATACTACATTGTACCCCACAAATATGAATAATTATGTAAGACAGAAAAAAGACAGACCAAAGATTCACACAGGTCATCTTTATCCTTTTGAATTATGGTAGGAAAATGTCACCAATCATGATACCCACAATTAAAGAAAAGAACCAGGACTGGAGGTGTGTCTTAAGTAGTAGAGCGCCAGCTTTGCAAATGTGAAACTCTGAGTTCAAACCCCAGTCCCACCAAAATAAACAATAACAAATTCAGTCTAAGACACTGTGCTCTTCTTATTTTTCGCAGATACTTTAAAAAATACTTTTACAATGTTCAAATGCATGCTTTTAATTTGTTTGTGGGCTGGAATGGTGGTTTTGTTTTTTAAGGTTGGGGCATTTTACCACCTGAGTCCATAAAGGCAGTGACCAGAAGAAATGAAATGATTCAGAGGCATCATACTGCCAGGTAACTTAGCAATGCTGTTGTATTTATTTTCTATTCATTCACTTGTCCAGTTATTAATTTGTTTTATATATAAATGGAAATATAGCATATATTTATAATTATATATCATATAATTACATTAATATTCTACTTATATATGTTTATATTATATATTTATAAATTATGTATAACTATATGTACATATATATGAATATATATTTATTCTATAAATATATTTATATTTGTATGTATTTATTATATAAATATATTTGTTTTTATCTAAATATAAATGAATAGATTATATAAACATATAAATAATATGAATATATATAACAAATTAATAAAAGAACATATGTGACAAATGGATGCACACACACACACACACACACACATACCTGATTATTTACAGAATGCATTTCAGGTAGATAACAAAAAGAAAATATACAAATATGTACACAGGTTAGTTAATGATAAAAGCAAGATTGAAAACCACATAGTGAAACTAACAATGGTATTAGTCTACACTGTAATAGTTTTTCAAGGTCCCATAATTGTAATACCTAGCTGTGATTCCTCTGAAATTCATATTGTCATATCTGTCTTAAATGACTTCAGTTCTGCCCAATGAATAGGACCCAAGTTTGCCAACCCCAGTTTAGACTACATCGTCAGAGCCCAGACAACCCCACATCAGCTCAACAGTAGCCTTCAGCTATAGCAAACAACCAACAGAAAGAAATGGATAACAATAATGACGGGGGTATGGCTCCAGGGAGAGAGAGGACACAGTCACTTGTCCTATCCCTGAATCCTAATGGAGTTCATGTGGTGACCAATAAGCAAGAAAGGTGAGAGAAACTCTAGCAAATCTTCCCCTTCAGCCACTTGGATTGATTTATAACCATTTAGACTGTCACTGACTACTGTCATTGACTACTTGAGTCTCACTAAAATCAGGATGATGGGATTAAAAACCTCCTCCTAGTGATTGAATTTCTTTGAGAATTAATCTCTGGCAAGAAACTACGCTGTGCCTCATTACTCCCATTCCTCCCATATTTGCCTTAGTGACTATCCTTGGACTTCCATTATGAATTGTAGCCAAACCCTTCACCTACAGATCTTCCTCCAGTCTCCTTCCCTCTGGCTTTCTGGGATTTCCTATTTCCACCAAACAAACTTGAGATTATCAGTGTGAGGACACAGGAAAAGCAGAGGTGCTCTCTTAAGGAAAGCATTAAAATTATGTTTTGAGTGGTTTTCTTGTGTTCATTAAGCAGATTGTTTTGGCTTTAGGGCAGAAATGGAGCTGTATGCTGTTTACCATCAGAGGAGAATGGAAAAAGTTAATCCCGAGGGAATAGCCAGCCTAAGGGGACCATTCCTCCATGGTTTCAGTGGCCCAGCTGGCCCAGCAGCCTACCATGGCAGGACCCTGCTCCCAGCCCGTGACCTGCATTTGCACAGAAGCACCATGAGAAACCTTCAGGGAAACCCCATGCTGGTGGCAACCAGACCACCCTTTATAGAGAGCTGGGGGCAGAAGTATCACCATCTCAGAAGAGGCACAGGGAATCAGAAACCTCTCGAAAGTGATACAGAGAGCTCCAAAAGTCAAGCAGAAGAAGAAGTCTTAGGCCAGATGCATGCAATTCCCTATGAAGAGGAGGAGTATGCAAAAGAACCAGAAATTGAAATATGCAGCAATCAGAAGTCAGGTGAAACCAATGGAAAGTCAGCCACAGCACTGGACGATCCCTGTGGAGAGCTCCAGCCCCTCCATAGAAAACCCTGGGGAGTCCCAGCCATTCCTCTGGAGGCAAAGGCCTGGGATGATGGGAAGGAGAAGCCTTCAGAGCAAGGTTTTGAAGACTATGGTGAAAAGAATGGGGTTTGCCCTCCAGTTTCCCACCCACCTCTGTCAGGTGGGTGTCCAGAGGCCAAGGGCCAACTTCACTGATGGCAGATTGCCAAATTCTTACCTTATTATGTAGGGAACTATAACCACCTTCCTGCTTTTTATCCTTCTTTTTCTTAATCTTGTTTAAAATGACCTGTTCTTGAAGTCACTTTATTATTCCAGTTCTAATAAGCCTTATCAGTGATACTAGTCACTATTTAGAGACCTTTCAACAAAGGCTGAGCAGATATGAGGAAGTATAAGGAAACTGCCAGATTTTTTAACTAAAATTTTAATTTATTTACTGTTAATTTAACACAAAACCAAGGGGATTTTTCTCCTTAAAAATATGAATTACATGTCCTTTATATTTAAGTGCAGAAAAATAAGCAATTAAACAAAAGCATTACCTTTCAGGGTCCATTACTGTTGTGTTATTGTCTAATCTAAAACTATTAACAAAACCCACCCTCTGAATAATGTCCTAGAACTTCCTTAGAAAAAACTATTTTAAAACACAGAGATTAGGGTACACCTAATCTAGTCACTTTATCAACTGCTTCCCTACAAAGTGTTGGCCATTTTGATGAAGTACCTATAAGCCAGGTGCCAGTGGTTCACACCCATAATCCTTGCTACTTGGGAGACTGAGATCAGGAGGATTGAAGTTCTAGGTCAGTGGGGGCAAATGGTTTGTGAGACCCCATTTCCAAAATAAGCAGAGCAAAATGGACTGGAGGTGTGGCTCAAGTGGCAGAGTGCCTGCTTTGCAAGCATGAAGCCCTGAATGCAAACCCCAGTCCCACACACACACACACAAAAGATGTAGCTATATTCTTACCTCACCTAGAGAGCATGACCATCACAGAATATCACAGACCATGTAAGCATTAATGAGCAGAGTGAAATCCACAGGGCTGTTGGAATCTGGGAGATGGAGTGAATCTGGAACTTCTTTGTTCACTACTAATAATGCCAAGGATCCTGTCAGAGGAAGAAAAGAAAGATGGTAGATAAACTTTTAGAAAATACCTCCCTGTGACTCTGAATGTCTTACAAATTGGCTTTAGAAAAGGACCACTCTGAACATTCACATAACCGAACATAAATCTATGCTCTTAGTTCCCCCATTTTCCTGGAAATTTTGTACAACAAAATAATTGCCTTTCCATCTTAAAGGAACACATGCACTGGTTGCAAGAAGGGAAAATCTTTCTTTGGATGAAGATATTCAGAAATGGAGCGTGGACGATGTGCACACCTTCATTAGAAGCCTTCCAGGTTGTTCAGACTATGCCCAGGTGACTTAAGAATTTCATAAAATTAAAACAGCTTGAAACATTGCATATTGAAATTAATTGCATAATGAATTTTGTGAAAATTTCATTTTGACCCCAGAGAGAATTCCTACTAATTTCTCCTTTTTATGTCATTGTCTCCCCTGAGACAGGTGCCTCTGGTGAGCGTGGGTCATGTACCCACACCTCAGTGTCAGGGGAGGCAGGGAAAGCCAGTGTCTGGCTTTAGTTTCTGTCCCATCAAGACCCTTGAAAAGTGGAAGTTCTTTCAAGTTGCAAGGAGGATCTGGGGCTAAATATCCACAAAGAATGAGAAAAGTCTACTCTGTTCCCTTTCATGTGTGTAGCAAACTTTTTTGTAAGATTCTTCTTTTTTTTTGGTTGGACTGGGTTTGAACTTAGTAAACTTTTTTGGAGCACATACTCTGTATCAAAAGTTTGAGGCTATTCATCCTAAATAATGGAAATGTATACTTCATTCTAAAAAGAACACAGAGTCACTAGATCTGACAATAAGAACTTGTTTATTAATTTATTTACTTATTTATCTACCTTGTGGTACTGGGGGTTATGTGTGCTAGGCAAGTGCTCTCCCACTGAACCACATCCCCAGCCCTTAATTATTTTCAAATTCTACTTTTATGCTGTAACAATGTATATAAAAATGTGTGTGCACATACACATAATTCAATCTGGTAAATGCACACTACTTTTAAAAATTAGGATGAACTGTTAAGACTGTTGGAAAGAAAATTATCCTCACTCATATTAAAATTGGTGACAAAAATCATAGGTTGTAAGTTTTTGAAGTTTATGTCAATGACACATTTTCACATACATAGGTCATTTGTTGAGTGATTGCATAACAATTCTAATCAACAAAATGCTTACTAAATCTGGTATCATCTTTGATTTACTTCATAAAGGAAAAGAAACCAAGCAAAGAGCATCATGGGTAAAATATATCATAATTGGTTTTTTTCAGGTTCTAGTTTTGTGAGATGTTTCTCTATACTTTAATGCTGTTAATTTTTTTCCTTTTTTTTTCGGTCTGTTTATGAGAACCAGGGAAAAACTGTACAGAGTACTAAGAGACTGGCTTCTCATGCCAGAAAGTACAAATTCAAATCCTGGCATTTTCATTTTCTGCATGTGCTAATTGGACAATTTGCTCCTCTTATCCTTATGCCTCATTTTTTTTACCTGAAAAATGAAAATAATAGAAATGATATATTTTCATATGATTGTTTTGAGCATGCCATAAGAAAGGGATAGAAGGCACAGTAGGAACACTTCGGTGAAAATCACGGCCCCTGAGGAAGAGGTCTCTGAAGTGAGACCTGACAGTGAGGAGAGAGGGGGGCAGGAGGGAGGTAAAGGAGGAACTTCTAGGTGAGAGCAGAAGTCAGACAGAACTCAGCCCAGCTGGATTTTGAGGGTAGTTCCCAGTGACGCAGAGGGCCAGGGCCAAGGTGGGAGGAATGAGGACAGGAGACAGGTTCCTGCAGTGATAGAAGGGGCCAGGTCCCAGGGAGCCTTGGAGACCCAGGGACCGACTGTGGATTGTGTGTTTATCCTGGAGGCGGTGGAGGATAATATGCAGGCAAGGCATGATTTAAATGTCTTATATTCAGAAACAACGTCACTCAGGTTGCTTTGTGAAAATGAGCCAAATCTGGAGACCATATCTGAAAAACAAACTACAGCAAAAAGGGCTGGGAGGCTGGCTCAAATGGTAGATTGCCTGCTTAGCAATTGTAAGGTCCTGAGTTCAAACTTCAGTACTGCCAAAAAGAAAAAAAAAAGGCACAATGCGCCACTGGAGCACAGAAAAGTGGGAAACTAAAGTTTTGAAGTTTTGTAAATTCCTATCCTCAAGCAGTCTTCCTCCAAAACTAAACTATTATAGAACAAGAACTTTAAAAAAAAAAAGAAAAGGACATTTGGAGAAAGGTAACTAACACCTTTCATGTTTCATAAGGTGTTTAAAGATCATGCAATTGATGGAGAAACTTTGCCATTACTCACAGAGGAGCATCTTCGAGGCACCATGGGACTGAAGCTAGGGCCAGCACTAAAAATTCAGTCACAGGTATGGTGAGTACACATTAGTGGTATGAAGCTTAAGAGAATTATGTTACTTGTAGCTGCATAAATGTAAATAATTCTTAGCCTCTTTGTTGAACTTTTCCCCGCTGTAACTGGGAGCATGATAGAAGTAAGGGAACTTCCTTCCAAGTGCAAGGCCCTGAGTTCAAACTCTAGTACAGGAAAAAAAAAAAAGGTGAAAACATTGGATCAGATGTTGGAAGGGAAGTGGTACACATACTAGGTGTAGCAGGAAAGGTGTGGTGTGCTGGCAAATGTTCAGAAATTAGATCTCTGTTCATAACAACAAAATGCACCCCAATTAGTAGTATTTGCTAATTTCTATGATGTCAATTATTCCCACCATGACTGACAAACTTCTAATGTCACTGAATACAGAATTAGGAAGGGACCCACATTTATTGCTGATTTCCCTCTATCCCCACTAGAAAGCAAACTCCATGACAGAAGGGACTTTTATCTGTTCTGTGGTCTGATGCATCCTTAAACATGCAAGACCCATAATAGGTCAATAATTATTTTTTTTAAAGAATGAGTTTCCTAAAAGTGAAACCAAAAAGCCACAACTAATTTGTCCCAGAATTTATACAGAACTGTACCTATTTGCCAGAAACTAAGATTTCAGAACATCTTCAAAAACCATCCTTATTTGTCTGAGAATTTTAAGGTTAAAAAGATTCTCTCTAATGTAAATACTGTTTCCATTGGTCTTTTTTTTTTTTCACCTTTTCATTTTGGAATAATTTTACAGACAGTAAAGTTGCAAAAATGGTACAAAGAGTTTATCCAGCTTTTCCCATGTTAAGATTTTACTTAACATGGTACATTTGTTAAAACTAAGAAATTAATATTAATGAATTCATTTTTAAATGATTTCTTTTTCTTTAGTGAGGATACTATATCTCTTGTCAGACTTACAAGGACAGTTTGTGGATTTTTTGTTTTCAAATCGAGTTTTCTTTGGCTTCAGTTTGTCGCTCGTTTTGGGCTCCTTCACAAAGCCCAACTGAACTATTACAGCAGGCACCATCTCCAGCATAAAAGGACAAGGCTCACAGAGGGTGGGGGAAGGCCCAGTTGATGACAGTCATCAAACAGGACAGTTAGAGTCTTTGGGATTGGAAATGGAAGCAATAGTTTTGGAAGGCTCTGAGTAATGTCTGAAAGTTCCAGAAGGTGAATAGGTAAGAGTTCATCACTGGATAAGATAATAAGGTCTCAACCTCCAAAATGGAGACTGAGGACAAAACCACATGATTTTGGGCATGGTCAAGAAGAAGGAAACCCATGCTCCAGGACCGAGACTCAGAAAATGGATTCTGAACTGGGGGCGTGTAAGGAAAGGGGAGAAGAATGAACATTCCTGGGAGTTGGGGACTCATATATATTATTAGAATGGAGGCAGCTTTGGATTTGAGCTATAAAAAATACGGCCTAGATTCCATGCAGGGTCAAGTTTGTAGCAAGGGCAACTGAAGCCCAAGTGGTTAGAGTCAGGACACCAAGTTCTAGATCAGCCTTACTTATGTCTTACTGGTGATTATCTATATGCTGAAGTTACTTGGTGAATTCTGGCCTCAGCCAGGAGAAGGACTGGTTAGCTGTTGGTGGAGGTGTGGTGGGGTGTCTGTGGAACCTCTCGTGAGACCACTGGAGAAGGGCAAGGTGAGGTGAACCTGGAGTTTACACAGCAAAGGCAGATGAACAACAGCAGACCCAGGAAAGGCAACCGGAAAGTCAGAGCCACACTAACAACCAGGTTCACAGCTCTAAGCACCACCTGACAGTGAGAGAAAGAAAAAGCCCACCACATGCTAGAGTTGTGACCCCCCCCCACAGGTATATAGATGCTTTATATCTGAAATCACCTCAGCCTCCTCACCTTCTGTGGTTAACACTGGGTTATTGAAGAATTCACAAATTAGTTACAGCGATTATTTTGTCTTCAAAGGTATCTCAGCATGTGGGAAATACGTTCCACAAGAAAATTCCTTCACTTCCTACCCACACAAGACAAGCATGTGATCAACCAGAAGACACATCCCCACTTTTGGATTTTGATTCCTGGAATGATACATTGAGCACTTCTTGCTCCCAGGATATAATAATTCCTAAAATAATTAATTGAGAGGGCATGAAAAATTTTAAACCCTCAAGGAGCAAGAACAGTCATCATCAGTTTTCCAAAGAGTCTACTATATTACCAAGGGCTTGTGAGAGCTTCCCAGAACCAGAAGGAGTAGGCCTCACCCCTATCAGGGCTGAAGTGACCTAGCACTGAGGGGCTGGAGGATTGTACTTGGAAGAAAACAAAGGAGAAAATTTGCAAACAGTAAGAAAGCTACAGAAGAATGTTTTTGTAAGGAATTTTCTGAAGAAGCCAGAGCTTACAATGAAAAAATAGCTTCTTACTTCTCTTCACTCATTTCCCATGCCCCAACCCTGCTGGAGACAAAGGCTGACATCTGAGAAGCTGAAGAAAAAGGTGGAGAAGCACACAGTGCAGAAGGGACAGGCTGACCACAAGGTCTCCTCCTTCTTTTATGACAGGCAACCTCTAGCCTGAAGTAGACTAAGGAAAGAAGAGAAGTAAGTTCCAAGTGAGATTCTGTGTTACCCAGGACTAGGTATTTTGTTTCTAAAATGAAACTATGCTATGACTGAAGATGACTGGAGGGCTCTTTATTTGACACAGAGATGAAAAACCTCAGATTTTACCCAGGGGGTTGGGAAGCACGTTTTCTCTGCATAACAGGTTTGAACTGGCAGAAGGGAGGGGAAGATTAAAATGGCTTTTGCATGCACTCTATGGAGCCCCACTCTTCCAAATTAATGTTTGACAGAATGTCTCTGAAACAACATAAAAGAAAATGATACCAATTTGCTCAAGATGGGGACAGGCTGACATGGGTATGAGGAAGACTTCTTGCTACATACCTTCTTGAACGTTTTGAAATTTTAACTATGAGAACGTGTTTCAGTTTTTTAAATTTACATTTAAAGTGAACAAACTGTAGCAAGCAGTCTCTCAGGTAGCCACAACAATCCCTCTTCCTGTTATTCTTATCCTGTGTAGTCCCTACCCCCACCATGGACTTACTGAACCTTTTCCGAGTGGAGTACAGAAGACATGGTGTGTAGGGGGTCACTTCTGTGGCCCCTGTTTGATGTTCTCTGGTACTCTCTTTGGATTGCTCCATCTTGGAGAAACCAACTTCTGTGTCTCCAGGCAATCCTGTAGAAAGCCCACATAATTAAACTTGGCAGTGGCTCTTTGGAAACCTGTCAACAGTCACAAACTGTTCAGGTACATGAAGGAGCTATAGCTCCAGCTCACAGCATGGCAGCAGCTCATGAAAGACCCTGAGCCTAGGGCTCCCTGCTGAGGCATTACTCCTAGATCCGACCCACAGAAACCGAGGCAATAAAAGGCCAGAAATGTGTGGTGCTTTCAGTCATGAAGATTTGGAGTAATCTGGTTCACAGCAATGAAGGACTAACACAAACAAATAAATTGCACTTACTGAACACAAATAGCACGCTACGTTCACTGTTTGATCTGGAAGGTGGGCTTTTGAAGTCATTTCCCCACAAGCCATGCTTGCTTAGTGGAGCTTTCCTTTCCTGTCTTCTATGATGAAGACAACAGGTTTTTTGTTTTTTTTTTTTCTAACATACAACTATACTGTACATCAATTGTGCTTGTAAATTGGTACTTCACTCTCTTGGTACCTTTGCTGAGAGACAGGAGAAAAATAATCCTCCTAGACTTCAAATTGTATTACTTTTGTTTAAGATGATAATAAAATAATGAATAACATGTGTCAGGATTTTAATAAGAATAATGTGAAATATACCTCACTGTCTCTTTTCCTCTTTTTATTCCTCCAATCCTCAGTGTACAGAAGAACTATTCTGCCACATGAAATTTTACCTGCTATAATTCTTAGCTTTCAGAAGTTTCATAAAATGTCCACTGCAAGTTAGCAGATGCTATGGTGAGGAAAAAAGAGTAAAGCCTAATTAATATTTTTAGTGGGAAAGGGATCATATGGTTCAACCCATATGATGACTTTTCAATTCCTTATTTCTGCTAAATAAATCAATAGAGCTGGTAAGTAAATCATTTGAACAGACGTATCTCAATGTTGCTTTGAGGAAACCGTTCTGATATGTCATCCTAACATGTTATTACCACCATAAAAAGCACTATGCTTAATTTTAGTTCCTGCATTTAAAAAAGGAATCAGAAGACAGTAACGGAGGCTCTCCACAGCTCTCAGAACTCCTCCCAGAAACAAGAGGAGACTGAAATTTCTTGTTCATACCAACATCACTTACCTTCCAGGTTAAAAACTTTTTTGAACAAAAGAGGCAATTCAGTAAAAAGGATGATTTTGTAGGGTGAAATTTTTACTTACATCTTCATATAGAAAAAGGTTTTAACTCTTTCTCACATTCGAGACTACTTTACTCTCGAATATGCTCTGTAAGAGTACAAGAGGCTGAGAATATGGTTCAGTGATACAGGGCTTGCCTAGCATCCACAAGGCTCTGGGTTCAATCCCTAGCACAACATAAAAAGAAAAAAAGAATAAAAGAAAATTGTAACAATTTCAGAAAACCTCTCTTTTGTTTGAAAAACCAATCACAGTACAACTGCTTGACAAATAGGGTATTGTGACTTACGAAATATTCTGTTTTCACCGATTGAGTAACATTCACATGATGGAACACTGTGCAGCTGTTTCCTCTGTGGAAGGATTACAGCTACTGAAAAGAAAAAATAGAATTTGAATATCTTTCTCTGGTCCCCCTAAAACATAAAGGACTTAGGCAATGATCATAAATGGCTGCTAACATCATAAAAAGAGAAACAACCAGACACCATGTGCCTCCTGATGGAAGTCCATGAAAACCCATGTGAATTGTCTTACTCCACTCTTCCAATATTTTAACCTAAATTTAATTAAACCTCTAGACCCAAAAAACGATTTAGAGAAAATACAGGGAACAGAGGAACATGTTAAGCATTACCAAGTTTGTGAAAATAGCAAAATCAAGATTGTGGAAAAACACAGAGTAGAAATGATCCAATTTCCTTCAATGAATAAACTGCAAGTAAAAGCAGAGAAGGGAAAGAAAAACGTATAGATTAAAAAATTCTTAAGATTCAAATCATACAGATGTAAATGTTTTGGAAAAAGTGGTATCAGTCACAGAACACTGTGAATATGATTGATACTACTGAATTGTATATTTGGAATTGGTTGAAATTACGAATTTTGTGTTATGTATTTTATTACTATCAAAAAGGTTTGCTGAGCATAGTACTACACATCTGCAATCCCAGCAATCAAGATGCTAAGGCAGGAGAAGCAGGAGTTCGAGGACAGCCTGGGCTATACCTAGTCTCTGGTCCTTTCTTCTCTCTCTATTTCCTATCTACCATGAGGAGAGTACCCTCTGCCAATGTTCCTGCCTCTATAATATTCTGTTTCACCATGGACCCAGAATCAACAGCGTGCCAAAGACTATGGAATGAAACCTCTGAAACCATGAGCCAAAATGAATGATACCTTCAAGTTGTTCTCACAGGCTTTTTGGTCACAGCTACAGAAAGGTAACTAACACGAAGCCAGCCAGCCTGGACTGGTCTTTTTTTAAAGACCCTCTCTTTAAAAAAAGTTTTAGACTGGGCATGCGCCTGCGCGAGGACCATGGCAGCCGGGAGCGCCTGATGGTGAGAGGCAGTAGCCACGCCCTTCCCTTCCGTGAGTGGGAAAGTTAGATAGCCATTGAAAACACCATGAAAGATGCAGATAACAAGAGGCTTCTGTGCACTCATCTTTTATGCTTATTTTCAGTTATCCTAAGCATCTTCATTCCGTCATTCTTCTTGGAGAACTTCTCAATATTGGAAACACATTTGGTGTGGTTGTGCATCTGCTCTGTTTTTGTAACCACTGTCAATCTCCTGTTGTGTTTAGTAGTGAAACCAAATGTATCCTCTAGAAGAAGTTCATTATCATATAAGGTAACCAGATTTTTGAAATGCTATATCTACTTTTTTATGTCTTGTGTCTCCCTTCATGTGATTTTTGTTCTATATGGAGCACCACTAATAGAGTTGGCATTGGAAACCTTTTTATTTGCAGTTATTTTGTGTACTTTCACTACTGTACCTTGTTTATGTTTGTTAGGACCAAACCTCAAAGCATGACTAAGAGTTTGCAGTAGAATGGAGTTACATCGATTTGGGAGAACAGTCTCTAGATCACAACCATTTCTAGTTTTGTAGGAGCATGGCTTGGAGCATTTCCTATTCCACTGGATTGGGAAAGACCATGGCAGGTATGGCCCATCTCCTGTACACTCAGAGCGACCTTTGGCTACGTTGCTGGACTTGTTATTTCACCACTCTGGATATACTGGAATAGAAAGCAACTTACATACAAGAACAATTAAGAGGAAGCAAAGGGAGAAGATATTCTTTGTGCAGATTCCATAAGGACTTGTGCAGAAATGTATATGGTCAAAGCCAAGCAGTTCCATTTACAGCACTGGTTTTTTTTAATGTAGTTTAAACATGATGTGATTGTAGCTTTTTAAGTTATGAAACCCCTGAGAGATTGTACCTTCTAGTCGAAATAAAGTATTTATAATAGAAAAAAAATTTTAAAAAGTTTTAATTCAAATCACCCAATGCAATTATAGAACTTATTTGGATCCTTACTAAAATGTAATGTAAAAAAAATGAAACAATTGGGAAATCTTGAACACAGCCTTGGATATTCAAGGATAGTTAAAATTTATTGTTATTTTTAAAGAGATGATAATAGTATTATAGATTTTTTAATTCTAATTTTTTAGAATTATATGCCGAAATATGTACTGATACTATATTATATATTGGGTCTGGGATTTGATTTGATCCTGCCTACAATCTAAGAACTTAGCCTGTTATTACTTTATGGAGATGTGCAGAATGCATGAGACTCAGATTAGAGACAATTAACGTTATCACTCATGACACAGTAAGTAACACGGACATCACTATATGTGTGTTGGTCCTTCTTACCCTCAGATGCTACAGGGACAACCCAGATGGGCACAGAGGATGCCTAC